GGTTCTTGATGTTGGGGATGTTGGGTTAGGGACCGGTTTGCCGTTGGGGAACTATGCCGGTCATGAGGACATTGCGCAGCTTATGTCGGACTTGCTTAAGCTGACGGCGCACGGCGGCGTGCACATGGGTGACCGCATCGTGCTCAACGCTGCGGAACCCTGGGGGGAAATGCTCATCTAGGAGCTCTGGTGGCTGAAGTCGGAGTTGGTCCTACATGCTTGGTGAGGGCTTCAGCTTGGGCGGACGGGGTGAAGGGAGAATAGGTGTGTGATGCGTACCATGACCATCCGGAAAAGGGACTGCTCGTGATTGTCTTGGGCATATGCAAGTAATTCGTTACTGACGATGTTTTCTCGCCCGGTCGTTCGGATGATCTCCTGCAGGAGGCCCTTCATCAGATGTCTATCGATGAGTTCTGAGATGGCTGGCGGACTTACTTTAATGTGTCGGGAATAGGTCCAGGTGCGGACCTGCTCAGATCTGGTTAGTATAGGGGCGGCGGTTTCAGGGTCAACAGGGCCGTGGGGGCGACGATCAATGGCAGCTATGATGGCCGTGTAGATGGCCATTTGCCGGTCTTCTTCGGTGAGCTGCGTTATGTGGGGTGGGTTAACTGGGTCATCGGAGGGGGGGGGGGCTGGTGATATTTGTTACTCACCAATCGGAAGTCCCGCTGGGTTTCCTCAGGCATGCGGCTCAAGTTAAAACGAGCCAGCAGGCGGCGGAGTGGAGACGCCGGCTCGGGGATGGGAGATTGCCGCGCGCCATCGAGGGCGGGGTCCAGCTCTAACTCGGAGTCGTCGGTGTCCTCAAAGGGATCTCGTAATTCCTCCTGAGGGTCCCCACGGCGCTGGCGCTGGTGTCAAGGGGAGACTGCGGAGGGAGTATTCACGGAAAGGCAGAAGGGTTAGGGTCGGGGAGTGGTTCTGAGGGTTAGTCTGAAGGAGATCGTTCACCTGGGTCGCTGGGGGATCGTGCTCGACGGTTGGAACTGTTGGCCGGGGTTTGGATGCTGCGCTGGCTGGTGTTGGGGGTGGTGGTCATGGGGTGGGTGCTGGAGAACATGATCGAGGGAGTTCTGATCCACTCAATCGGGCCCTGGGGCGGACATTGGGCCGCGCCAGGGCTGTGATTATATCTATTTGCAATGGTTATGGTGAGTTGTGGTTCAGGTGCTGCGGCTGCGCGTTCTGGCGCAGCGCGTACAGGCGCTGTGCGTTCTCGGGGGGGTCGGTAGCGCGCGCCTGTTTGGGTTATCCGTCGGGCTCACGGGGGGCGGGGGACACTCACAGCTCTTTACGGGGTGGGAGGTGTCTGATGTCTGGGTGGCAGGTTGTCGGGCAGGACGGGGGGCTCATGGGGGTAGGGGGCACGCGTGGGATTGCTCATCATGGGGGTAAGGGTAGTTACATGAGGGGGAGGACGGGGGCTATCGGGCTAGGCTGTTCCTTGTGTCCTGGAGGTCGTATCGTCTCGTGGGCTCCTGGGGCCAATCACTAGGTATCGGCGCTCCTTGGGTGGGAGGGGCTGGGGGTAGGATGCGCGGGAAGGATGGGTCAGTATCTTGCGCGCGCGAATGAATGTGGTACGGGTTCGACAGGTTATGGAGGGAGACTGACCCGAAGGTGCCGGTCATCATACTGCATGTATAGCCGGATAACGACCTTGGCTAGGGGTGACGATGCACCCACAGCGTTGACAAAATCCTCAAAGCAGCCTTCGCCTCGCATGAATGATCCGAGCGCTGGGGCCTGGCCGGGCTCGATGATCGTGAAGTGCCATTGAAGGCTCTTCGTGGCATCTGCGTCCTGAGCTACTCGGTCCACGTGGATCGAGCGGCGCTCGCGGCTGAGGTGGAAGAAGACGAGGCGGGTGAGTTTGGCGGGGGTCAGGCCCTGCAGGAGGAGGCTCATGGGGGCGCTTGGGTGATCTTTGCCCTGGTAGATTTGCGTGTATATAACTCCGTGGGGGTCCCGACCTATGGGCACATAAAGGGTGTAATCCACGTACACCTGCCTTGGGACAATAATCTCGCCCGGCGGGGGGGTTCTGGGTTGCATAGGCGGCGCGCGAGGGCCAGACGAGGGTGTCGGGCAGTGGAGATATGTCCAGTCAAGTCGCCCTGGACCGACGTCATGGGGGGGTGTCGGTTGCCTGTTGATCTGATAGGGAATCCCTCGTGGTGTGATGTTAGCGTAGGAGTAAGCTGGCTGGCTCGGTGGGGGGGGGCCATCGGGTCGGAGAGGGATTAATTGAGTCCGCCTACTTACCGAGGGCTCTGGGTCGAGCTGCCAGGGACCATCGGGGGCCATTATGTGGAGCCGAAAGCGATGGGGGGTGCGAAGGATCCGCCGGACTGATGCTGGCCAGGATCGGCCGCATATGAGCGACAGGGCCGGGTCAGGACTCGGTTGGGCGGCCGAGCCGCGGGACATCTGCCAGACGAGCTCGCCGGCGGCGTGGTTGCATCGAATCTCGTGTCCTACCTCCAGGTTATGACTGACGAGGCTCCTGATGACTCCTCGTTGGAACCCTCCCCAGGACCATTCGCGGGCGGCCGGTGGGATGCAGATGTAGAGGGGCCGGGTGGGTGGACCGTGGACCTCGTGCCATAGGTAGGATCGTCGTTGGGATCGGGGGCCGTGGGTTGCTTCTGTGGCAGGGGGGTTGGATAACCACACGGAGTAGGTGAGTTGCAGAAGGACGGACTCCTCGGCTGGGGCGGGGTTGACAGGATCCACAGGTACGTCTTCGTCGTCTTCGATGCTGGGGCGTGTGGCCTGGTCGATGATCTCTTTGGAGTATATCTCACAAAGTTCCTCATATGAGATGGTCCCGCTGCGTTCGTGAGCGGCCATCAGCGAATCGCCTGCGGTCGTTGCCGATGTCTGTTGCGGTTCATGAGGCCGGGCCGAGAGAGGAGATCGAGGCCGATCATGCCCTCGCGCCCGCGCGCGCGCGGGCGCATGAGCGGCCTTTGAAAACGTTAAGTCAAACGTGAGGCCAACTGCGGCTTCATAAAAAGGGAAGCTTGAACCCCACAAAAGAGGGTATAAGAATGATTGAGCTCTATCCAACATGGCCCGTGAATCAGGATGATGGAAGGAGGGAATAATAATTCTTCAGATCGCTTTTGCCTAATGCCTCTATCTTATTTAGAGCCTCTATCTTATTTAGATCATGGGGAACAATTATAATTGACAAATGATAATGGCATGAACTGTAATCCTGTCATATGACACTGACAGTATGAGCACCAGGCCCAACGACATATACCAGAGAAGCCGTCTCATGCTTCGTCAGAATCATCATCATTACCCAAGTGGGGATGATATCCCTCTTCATCCTCAGAATCATCCTGGGATGATTGATACATCGAATCCGTGGAGCCTTCTGCATCACGATCCATTGAATCGGTTGAGCCTTCTGCATCAGAATCATCATGACTCATGATACCAGCGTCCACTGTTCCCACCAGGGCCTGTTCAGCCGGGGGCCCTGAATCGGGCCCAATCTCCACCTCATCCGCCGCATTCGCATCCTCCCCCAGCTCTTCATCAGATTCCTGTGCGCCCGCACCTGTTGTAGCATCCCAGGTCGCAAGTCCTTGCCGGATCCCCGCGGCCCAATCAGCGTCGGAGACTGCATCCACAGGGAGCCGTGCAATTGCCCGGTGGAGGTCTGGGGCATGGAAAGACGCCGCGTTGATCACATAATGGTCCTGATCGGAGTGGGTGACTACCCAGGACTTCACCGAGGTTCGACGGCGTTCCTGTTCGGTTGGTCCTGTGCGGGTCACCAGGCATCCGCCTTTGCGGCAATTGTGCTGAACATTGATGCACGCATGCAACACCTGCAACCTGCTGAATCAGTTCAAAGGGCATTGTGCTGCACTACATATACAAGATCTGAACTCACCTTTGCATTGACAAGTACAACCCTCTTAGACCGCAATATCATCCTCATCTCGTAGAAATCATCCACCTCCCTTACCAAAAACACTGTTAAGTGAGCATATAATGCCTTTGCTTGCGATGTTTTCACCTGCCAGAGACTCTCCACCCGGCCAATCCGCCATTCTGCTTCCCCTAACGCTGGCACCTGTGATCATCAAATGGTCAGTTACACACTAATGTGTCCCGCGTTACAACAGACTCTCATACCACTACAAATGCCCCCTGGTGAACTTGGTTGTGATTGTTGATCTCAATCTGATGAATCTGCTTGACCAACGGCTGCCCGCTCAGATCGGCCAACTCATGCGGGATTGTCTTGATGTCGTCCTTATGTGCACACACCCCACTGGTACGGGGGAACCCCTGGATGTCCTGGGAGTCTGACTTAGCCGCATTGTACCCCAATGAGTGCTGGACAACCTTGCTGTTAGAGAAAAAATTGGTCACATTGGGGCCAATTTTCCTGGTGATACCTGTTGAATGGTCATGAATCACACCGCCCGAGAGTACGAACCGATGAGATGCATAAGTCTCAAAAGTCTTGGCAATGTCGCGGCCTGGTGCGCGTCGGTTCGAGTGAATAGAAGCATTCCGGAGGACCCCATTGTATGATTCAAATTTTTCCGTCGAGCACAGTGTCGCCGGGCCAAATCTTTCGATCGATGCAGGTAAGTGCAAGAGCATATGCAATTTCGGTTTGTGCACCCATTGGGCCGTAGATTTGATCATTAAGTATAGGAAGATGTCTATGTGAGCCTGAAGGTCGACCAGATATTGTGTCATGTCCCCAATGCGCGACTGGAAAACCAGAGGAGCCAGCTTGCATAGTGCCAACCAGATTGCCTGCTTCTCTGGTGACAAGAAACCCATCAAGAAGAACGGGCCCGCCTGGAGTAAGATCTTGAAGTCCCGACCAACCAAACTCTTGATATGCTTGATGAGATACTCGGGTTTGAGAGAATCAATATTGAGGGAGCTAATGCTGAAAGACCTCAATCGCCCCTCGAGTTCGTGCCGGTTTGTTGCTGGCACACTCCCCACAAGGTCGCGAGCAAGGTACTTGACGATCCCCAGGAGAATCACGTGCAAGATTTCCACAGGTGTATCATGCACCCCGTCAAAACCTGAAAAAAACCCGTAAGAAACATAGCCAGTCATAAATAGATTCACCCCTGGGTCAATAGAAACAAACCAGACCAGCAAAGTAGGGCCTCACCCAAGAGTTCCAAGAATGGGTTGTACATCCTCCAATTTGTATCAGACCCCGCGGACAAGTCATCCAGTTTTGCCTGGCCATCGGGGTGACTTCTTGCTAGTGCGAGCAGTTTGACATTGATGGTGTCCTTGATCCCAAATTCAATGGCCTTATTCGTAGACTTGTTCAGAGATTCATTCTTCGCGATGGCAAAAAGCTTGTGAGTGTTCTCGCGAGTCGTTGCCCACCGGCGAGGGAGGACTTCCAACTAAGAAAAGCACATCAAAACAGCAATGATTAGATAACCCCCTTGATACCAAGAGCAGTGTGAGATATGTCTGAGTACCCAACCCACCTGACCCCCACAAATGTTCCTGTGAAGGAAATGTTGAACATATGTCCGAGTCCTCTTGAATTTCTTCTTGCTGACTGTCAACTTGCACATCCTGCATGGGTTCAGACAGTTGCCAGGGTTTGGGGTGTTGGTAATCTCCGCATGCATTGGCGAGTCTGCCAGGAAACACAATACTACACATGAGACCCAGACTGGTGAACTAATTGTATGATCATATGCCAGGAAGCCATCCGAAGCCATCTCACTGTCAAAACCAAACCCATTAGCCAAGATCACACCCAACTGTATCACCAAAAGCATATGGCCAGACTTACTTGAGCTCTGCAACAATCTGCTCAGAAATTTCACAAACACTGGCCAGGTTAGATGTTGCCAAGAAGTGGCAGTTGTATTCCTGATTAGACAAGCGAGGTGCCAGGCCGGACAATGTGAAATAGAAAGATATGTGTTTGTTGAATTGCTTCGATACATTCCCGGAAGTGTCGTCGGAATAGAGAGTGAGCGGCACGTGGCGGATGATGAGATTGTTTGATTTTGACCGCCAAGGATTTGGAAACACAACCACTTCATCCGGAAGTCCATACATAAAGCTCTCTGGTGGAGGTACACAATGGCAGTCAGAATTATGAGGCACAGCTAGGGTTCAGAGCACCCACAATGCAAATGAAAACACGCGCACCTGTAATAATCCCGCCACATTCATCCATCAGCAGTTTACCATTTTCGGACCAAATAATAGATGAGTAGAGGCCCACAAATTCCGAGACAGGTACCAAGCTCAAGCGGTCGTCGTCAAACCCAAGCCCTCCAGGTATAGTAATCTTCAGAACCTCCCCATCATGACTGATGTGTTCAGGGCGCAAGCAAAAACTCTTTGTGTGTAAAGTCCTGTTGTAATGGAATATAAAAAATGGGATTACTACGTCGAGGGATTGCAACTGGGCCGGTTCAAATATGTAAAAGTGTGTCCCATTTCTATCAAACATCTGTGTCCGGTGCGCGCGAGAGAGCCCCCCGACCCATTTGTGTGATTGGGAAAACTTGTAGACGTCCTTTCCATTTGTCCATTCGGGATAAAAATCTAGCTTGCTGGCCACCTGAGGGTTGGCCAGCTCCTGACCAGTCAACAGAGACCACATCCATCAGCAAATTGGGCACCAGCCAGCACAGAGAACCATCACACACCTCTGAAATCAACCGCTTGGCACTGAGGGCATAGCACGGAGTATCAAAAACTGACTCAGCCGTGCAGACCTTTGACCCCAGAAGCTGATTGATCCTAGCCCTAGAATCTCGAACTGTTGCCCAAGCTGGTAAGTGCATGTCGCAAAGAGCCAATATGGCGTGTATCTTCGCATAGAGCAACCTGGAGATCATCGACCGTGTGTGGCCTATTAGCATTGATCCTACCAGATCCTAAACAACCCACTAGCCCCCATCAGTATGCAGCACTCAAGCACAGGGGGTGAACCAGTTGGATTCATACTCACCATTTTCCCCTTGAAGGGGAACCAGCGGCTCGTGTTGACCCTGTTAGACCTGACATCTGTCCTCTTGATGGGAACCTCCACGGGCCCCATGATATCGTCGTCATCCGCGCCAATCTCCTGAAGCTCCTTCTCCAAGACGTCCTGCCAATCACGGCGAGCGCCCGGTACCGATGGGACCTTGGGTGCCGTGTCCATTGCCTCCAATTCGTCAAGGTCCTCATCTAGCGTCCGGGGGTCCTCGTTCACCGGTGGGTCCGAATGCAGGTTGCGGATCGCTTCAATATGGTCCCAAAATTGCTCGTCGTCTGCATCTTGGACATCGTCCTCGTCAGGATCTTGGACATCCCCATTGTCACCCGGATCGCGCACGCCTTCATCATCACCGGTCGATCGTTGATCATTGCGACCTTCGCCGCGCGTCCTGGCTGATACAATCTCCTCCGCCCGGCGTTCCGAATTTAGCCGGTGGGCGTTCGTGCGGCAATGCCTGGCCCAGCTCCTCGCGCCGGTCGCCAGCGGACAAGATTTGCACCGATACTTCCCGTCCGTCAGGACATAATCTGTGCGGCCGGACGTGAGGAAGGATCAGGAGTAGGTCAGTCACATGACCCGGAGGGCCCACCAAAAGGGGTAAGAGAGCTGCTGACCGTCCGTCTCCTCGCGCTCGGCTTGTCCATTCATGATGTCTTGTATCGAGTCGTTAGATGTGAGCGATCGATTCGTAGTCAATAACTTGATGTGCGAAAGGCCGGCACACTCGGATTGTCATCCAGGGAATGCCGATGCGACACGTCTGGGCCTCACAAGCAGCACGTGCGCCACAGTCGATACAGTTCTTACTTCCTCAGAGGCCAGCATGAGCCATTGGCACGTCACCTGGTGCCGTACCGGCCCCGGAGACCAGGTTGCGCCTCCAAGCCACAGTTGCCCCGTGTCAGAGGGGCATCTAATAGACGACATAGCCGAGTCGCCCCAAGGGCAGTGCACGGGGCGACCATATGGCAGACCGGTCACTAGGGCGCCCCGGCTCGGCCCTCGGGACCATCTGGAACTGTGAGTCGCCCCTGAAGATGGACTTGAGCCGTCCAGCTTCAGGGGCAAAACCGTGGTACTTAAACTGGCGCCCGAGGCGCCATTGTGTCGGCCAATTCAGTTTGCGCTTTCGTGGCGCTCCTGGATTTCTCGATTCGCCCCGCTGTGTACATGCTAGTCCTTGAGAATGAAAGTTGGATTGATGTTTGGAGGAAGCAATAACGAAAATCCATAAAAATGTGTATTCGGGAAGTGTTGAATTTTTCTCAATTCTTTTCTCTCTCTGCCCTTTTTTCTTTCCTTATCACCTTCAACCAGACTAGATTATTTTTACCAAGCAGTAGGTCTTAAGTTGTTTTCTGAGCTCCTACTGAATCAAATTTGCACAACATAAGCTCAACTGACTATTCCAGTCTCTCCAGTATTATCTTCTCTTTTTCCTGACTTGTTGTGTGTTATTAAAAAATTGGCTGACAGGAATTAACACCCCTTGTCATTTGTGATTCAAAACATTTTTACTTTACTAACTCATCTAACATAACTACAAGAGAATGAGATGTTTTGTCTAGTTTGTTATTTTTAAGAACCTATTTTATCTTCTCTCAATTTTTATTCAAAATAACTTCTTATTCATTTTTCTCCCAACCACATGTTGGTCACTTGTATTTAGTCTACATAAGCCTGCCTAAATACAGGGAATAAAAAATCCATTGGTTCTTACACTCATTTTCCAAGAGCCTTTCCCAAAAAAGTGTCCTTTCCTTTTTTGGCCCTCAAACTCCTTACACGCCTGAGTTCTAAATTTCAACAGGAAGACAAATCCTGTACAAGGATACAGACAGTCTGAATGTACAGTACTACAGCTAGTTGAATTTGTACAGGGTGGCAAGCGTAACAAAGCCCGCAAGCACCCGTAGGCATGAGGTGCAAGCAGGGCTTATGCCTGACTGACACAAGTCCGCATGAGGCTATGTCAAAAATAAGTGTAGGTTCATTTTTTCAATTTTAAAATTGTTGTTATTTTTACCACTCTTGCTACTCTCCCCCTGCTGTATGCTAGCATCCTCTCCTTGTTTCTGTCTGTTCAGATTCTTACTGAAATTTTTTGTTCAAGCTGTACAATTTTTTGAAATAAGGGTCCAATTGTATTTTATTTGGACCTTTACTGTTTTCTTTTTTTTTAATTACTTTCTTAATTGGTCAGTTGACCATTGAAATACAAAACTCAAATCATCACATGTAATATAACCAATGAGATAACAGAGAGAATAACAGAGAGAGATCGAGAGAGAGATTGACAGAGAAAAAAAAAGAGTATCAAAGAAAACAAAAAACCCAAGCCATATAACACCTCACAGGTACCCTTGGTATTGATTTTTGGGATAACGGCTGGATTGTTTTGAGGTGTGTTTTTGTGAGAGTTTGATGTACATGGACTTTGGATGGATGAATCAATAACAGTTGAAAAGTGAAGAAAGAAGATGGTCCTGATGTGTGTCTTTGGGAGGGTTTGATGTATGCGGAATCGGGCTGGATGAAGCAATAACAGTTGAAAAGTGAAAAAAGAAGATCGTTATGAGGGAGTGTTAAACCAGATAGTACAAAAGGTCAAAAAAAGAGGAGAGGTATGAAAAAAGAGCAAAAGTAAAAAAAAATGTTCATGCCAATAAGTGGCAAAATAAAAATTGCAATACTCAACATTTGGGAAGCTGAAACAAGCATGATGGGGATGTGAGGTCCACATTTTGAATTGGCAGGATCAACAAGAATATGTGTAAGCTTTTTTGATGAAAAGGATAAAAAAACTAGATTTAAATTGGTGCAGATATGGAGGAATGACAACCTTCACCACCAAAAGTTGAAGATTGCCTCACACCAACACGCTCCGGTTATTCCCAAGTCCTCTCCCTGCGGGAGAGTCCCTGGTGCTTGCACACTCAACAAGCGGCTAAAGTGTCCCACACCGCAGCAGGGAGGCGGGCTTGTGATAAGTTTGACAGGGTGGCTATGTCAGGCTTGGGGTACTTACTGTAGTCGAGGATAGTAGTAGCTATAGCCTAACTGAATGAGATAGAACAAAAGTTCCTGAGAGATCAAGGATTAAGGATGAGTTACGGTATAGCGCGGCTCAGAGAATGCTTGATGAGGCTTACGTGAGTCTTCCAGCAGTCTTGCAACCGGGGCAACCAATCTCTAAAGGAGTAGAGTTGGGGAGTTAACACTTCCAGTTAACAGTTGGGGGAACTGATTGGAAGGGAAACTTTTTGAGGGTGTGAGTGATTGTAGAGAATTTGTAGGAAGGCGTGAGCCGTGGAGACAATGATAATACTAGCGTAGAACTATTGCTGGAAGAAGTAGGCAAGAGCCTCCTATCTAGGTAGTGAAAAGCACTACGCGAAGGCGTAGAGTTAACGAGTGCTAGAGGGTTGGCTGTATTGTTGGCGGTACTAGATTCCAGAGGGTAGTAACTAAGTTTCGTGGTTAAAATTGGTCTGGGGAAAAGGGAAAAAAAAGGGAAGTGATGAGGCCAGCGGTTTTCTTAAATGTTGTAAGGACACACTGGCCGGTTTGTGGTCATCTTATTCCTTGGGGTTCAAGGAACAGGATGGAATCAGTAGATAGTATTTTAACAATTGGGGATAGATACGCGTCGTGTCGTGTTGATTCTTGCTGCGCCGTTTCTTTATTCATTATTCTTTATTCATCTTATGCATGCCCGCGCTTTATTTCTCTTTTATTTATTTTAATGTTTTATATGTTTTTCTCATGAGGGGTTTATAATTCCTTAGACCCTGGCAGGCTATGAGAGTGTAATATGAGGGTTGGAGATGAAAGCTTGGAAATCTAGCAAGATTTGGGATCATAGCCAAACCAATGTGGCATGTTTGTTGCTATTTGTAGCATAGCACACGGTTTAGGCTGATGCGGATGCTCTAAGACCTCAGTAGATTCTTATGGTCAGTTTGCAAAACAATTGCAAGTCAAAGCCGTCCTGAATCTTGTTGAAGGTCAAAATACTTTTCTCTCGGCTGGAACCGGATTTGGCAAGTTGCAAATCCCAGAACTTTACTGCAAGACTAGGGTGACCTGTGGCGTTAGCCCGCCGTGGGCACCCTATGTAGGACCTTGGACCATCAGAGACTGGCCAATGAACTGGGAACTTGCCTCAAAGAGTCTGATTGAAGATTGTGATAGGAAAACAATGTTGGATTTCATGTTCAGATCTGCCAAAAGAAAGAGAAATTTCACTACGTATAATCTATGTAATGTAATGCCAACTTTTTTTTTTAAAAAAAAGGGAACTTCCCTAAGGGACCCCTCTAAACCTAAGAGGATCCAGAATCAAATGAAAGATCCAGTGGCTGGCAACAGTAATAGAAAAGAAATCAAAATTCACTGGATTTACTGAGAATCATCAAGGACATTTTTAATGACATCAAGGTTGACTACATTTGTGGTCTCAGGTTGTGATTTCAGATTTGCAACCATGCATATGGAAAGTCCTGCAACACTTGTCACTTGGGATAAAGCTAAATACAGCTGCCCATGCCAAAAACAGGCTGGGGAAGATAGACGGACACTGTTGATAAGCAACGGTGCAACAGAGACCACACAAGACAGTATCAGGCGTTTATTTGTATTGTCTCAGAATTTGAATACCCAAAAATACCGGATTTGTGTTGTCTCACTCTCCTGAGACAATACAGATGTATTGTCTTTGAAAAGTGAGAAAAGTATTCTGTATTGTCTCAGATGACTGATCCCCCCAAAACTGTATTTGATACACAAGATATTTGGCCGTATTGAAGAAAAAAGAAAAAAAAACAAAGACAATTTTTTTTTTCATTTGTAAATCCAAATCCAAGAAAATGAATTTTTTCACCAACCAAAAAAATACTGATACCGGTATCAGGCTCAAAATAAAGACGATACAATCCAATAAAAATACACGTCTCGTATCTTTTGCACCATTGTGATAAGGACTTTCCTTGAGCCTTGTTGATGGTAAGGGCAAATGCAACCAAAACCGGGAATTGATACCTCTTGAAAGAGACTCTGTAGACGTGAGTAGCTTTGTGTTTCAGAGAGATTTTTGGAATGAGTGTCTCATTCCCAGAACGTGATCCAGTTAAGATTTTACATCATAAGACATGATCTGATATGCCTAGGACTAATAACCTGGTACCGTTTGAAAGTCCATTTTTCAGATCCAAGTTGCGGAGTAGAATCACAGGCGTCCCAAATTTGAGCTTCAAATTGCAGAGGGGAAAACCGGGCAGTGTGAAGGTGTTGAGAACTTCCTCTGGAATGACCTCTTCACTATCCATGTCGTCGTCTTCATTGGCCATTGTGTTGACTGAGTGTGAAATGTGGTATGCACTGTAAGACTCAAAAGTGGTTATGAAAACCCTTTTGCTGAATGGAGAAGGGTATGTTGGAGTTGCAAGCTCTGCCCTTCTATACTATCAGAATAACAAGACCACCAAGCTTAGCTTGGCAATTTTATATATAGTGATAGGGATAATTTCGAGATGAAGCTGCCGATTGATATGTGTGAGGATATAAAGATGTTATTGACTGTTGGTTATATTGATGAAGTTGTTGTTGATGAATATGGTTCAGGGCACTTTTGGTTTATGATGATGATGAAAGTGTCAAATCTGTATTTCAATGTATATAATTCTGAAATTGTAATGTGGCTATGACTTGTAGTTATGAAATAATATGTAAGATGGATTTATTTATAAGGGTGGTTGAGATGATCTGGTCCACTGGTGGGATTATGGAGGGAACAACTGGCAGGCAGAGGCCTCCTTATATAGACAAATGTGAGGGATTTTGGCCCCAGGGTACAGGCTGAAAGATACTACTACAAAGGGATGCATATAAATGAATAAAGGGACGCATATGTACGATCAAAGGGATGCATACATGCAATATCACTAATACAATGGGATTCAAAATAACGTAAAGGTATTCAATTTACAACAAAGGAATTCAGTATGCAATATGCATCCTGTATTCATAATGA